TGCTCTATCAGGCTATATGGTTTGGAAAATTTATTGACCAAAAGCCATGGACTTGATTTTCCAGAAACCCTATTATCAACTTTTCTCATGAAACGTCGATAATAAGATGCCTCATTTGATAGAAAAATTCTTCGGCCTATTCAACACAGTATTCAGATTGGCTTCAGCTTTTACTAAAAGATCTAAAACAAAGGAGTTCTTGTGATTATCACACACTGAACTGCATAGATAACACCCAAACGCTTCTTTTTTATATCTCTAATGACTGGCTCCACCTGTCTGGATATTCTGACCCGCTCACGTTGTAGAGAATTTCAAGGGCTATGCAATGGTATGCTTTTAAAATATACATATTTCTTTATTATTTTTTACTTTTAGAAAGAGAGACCTTAGTTTCGGTATTTGTTTCGAAAATTCCGTTTTTTTAATTGGGAATATATCATCAAAAGGATGTGAAAATGACTACCTGATCTCGAATAATTATATTGTATTCTCTGAAGTTGTGTTTTCGAAAACTCTTTTATTGTGCTTAAATATGTGAAGATTATTAAAAATTTCACAAAATAAGGGAGGATATTTTATATGGATCTAAATAACTACATGTCAAATTAAAATTTTATTGTCATACTAAATGTTTATCTTTCGAGTGACATTGTTATTGTGTTGCATAGGTGTAGTCGTAATTTGTTGATTTCTTTGCAAAACTGATATTTGGTGTGTTGTGCTCCGAGTTATTGTAACAATTTTCGATTTAGATGCCAAGATCGCCTAATGATTTTGAAAAGTTCCTTGCGAAAAACTGTACCCATCAGTGTATACAAATAAAAGCTACTTGAGTGAGCAAAATATGTTATTGCACCCACAGTTCGAGCTGCCAAATTTTCTTTGGTAACCTGAAGCGTATTCTTAGCAAAACTGCTAGTGAACGACGCGTAGAGTTGATTAATAGAGAAAGGTAAAGTAGAGATGATGATCACGAACACTTGAGCAGCCAACATGCGCAAGAGTTGAGTGTCCGGTCGTCGAGCAATTCGATTAATTTTGTTAGTTACTGGAATCACACAACGGTGGTGACGAAGGTTGTTGAGTGTAAGAAAACCAAAAAGAAGCATAAAGAACGATGGGCAAAGCGAATATAAAACCATATTCCAGAATCCAAGGAACGTACGATAAAGAAAAGTTTTGGAGAGTTTTTGGAGTTTCTGGAAAACTGGTTTTCTAGAAATCCAGTCTTTGGAGGCCTAGCGGCCGAAACCATTGTCATATTCTGATTCAGCACATTTTTTTACCTATTACCCACTAGCTTAGAGCTAAAAAGCGAGGTGGCAGTTGGTGACCTTCCCTCGTTAGTTACTGGTTACTTGTAAAGAAGTAACTTTTATAGTTACACTTAGCTAATAGTAACTATAAAAGATGGATTAGTTTCGGCTAACTAATCCAGTTACTTCGTTACTCTGGAGAAAGTAATGAGGTAACGAATTCTGGTTTAGGGAAAAGCCATATTCAGCTTTTTTTCGATATTCTCTATCGTTCTAACATATAAATCTTGTTATGAAAAAGTGACTTTTCCATAATATGACCAAAGTTCTTTTATTGATCAATAATAAGACATAAGAAAGTAAACTTCTGAGGATGTTTTAAAACATTTTTGATAATGAAAAACGAATATTCTGTTTTTCGTCCGTAGACTGAAGAAGATGGTAAAACAAAGATTTCGCAAGACATAAAGGATTCCAACAGAAAAAGAAAGCAAAGGGTTGTGCTATCTTCTTCCATTCCTACATATAGTTCACAACGGGAAAAATAAAAACCCATAAGAAATTCATCGTTTAAAATTTAAGCAAAAAATCACGCAGATGATGACGATGCCAAAGAAGAAGTCTAAGTAAACTTAAAAAGAATCGGCTGTCGGATTTACCAAGAAATTTTGCATCGGGTACCCAATTTTTGTCTAGTTTGGTTCTACGCGGAGCGAGTACCAAAGTTTCTAAGTAGGTAGGAGATGTTCCTTTTCTGAACCAACACAGATTCACAATATCAGCAAAGAGTTCCTAAACAGTTGATGAGAGAAAAACATTAGAACTAAACAGGCTGTGCCCACATTACGTAATCGATTTCTGTACTATTTTGACCCCTCCTAGAATAAGACTAAGATAACTTATCCATTCATTTCGCTGGTTGACACTCTGGAAGTAAAGTATGGCACAGAACTGTTTTTATAACTTGATAAATTATTTAATTAAAGTAATATACTGTACATTGGTTTATGCGTGATATCGAATTAACATATTCAGAATTAGTTTATGAAACTGCATCTGTTCGTATATAAAGAATAACTTTCTAAAAGAAATATTTCTGTCAAAAATTCCCGCATTTCTCCTCTGCTGATTTTCACTTAAAAGGCCTTCTTTTCGAGAGTCTTTTCTTTTTAGTTTAGCTATATATTTTAAGTAATGGAAAACGCCACTAAAAAGAAGCGCTTTTAAAACAGCATGTACAGCGGGGGAAACCTGTACAGCGGGGAAAACCTGTACAGCGGGAAAATTCCACTTAAAATTGATCTAACTACTCACTCAATGAGAAACAATTTCTATATTTTGACGAAGCCAAGGAGTGACATTGGTGACTATGCATTCACTTCAGAGGCTGTCGTACGAGTCAAATTATTTTTTCTTCAAACTATAATTGTTCGATCCGCTATTCAAAACTAAGGTTACTTTATTTTTTGACTTTCGAAGAGGAACTAGTTGACAACTGGAATTTTTCTCAAAAGATCGATCAACAGTTCGAAAAAAGCGCCATGTCTGGATTAGAAAAAAACGGTGAAAAGAACGGAAAAATGATACAGTCAAGTAAAAAGTCGGCATAAGCAGAAGAAAAATAATTAATGCCATCCACGTTTTACGGTAAGATAGATCAAATATTTTCCACCATTGCATTCAACTTTGTTAATAGTAAATGATATACCGGCGGTTAAAAGTAATTCGTCTTCATTCGGATATTCCGATAATAATGACACATCCCAATTTGTATTTTCTCGAGTTTTTATTGTTTTTATTATGAATAATGTATTGCCAAAATTCTCAGCTAGACGACGATTTTTACTTGTTGATGAATATCCAAGCCACTTTCGCACTTCACTAACTGAGTTTTTATAATCTCTCAACATTTGTTCATCAAGTTGAGCACCTCGATAGACTCTGCCTTCAAATGTAGCACCAATCTGAGAACCACCTGGATATATAAACGTACTTAGAAGATAGATGAATGGTCCTGATGGTACCAGTTTATTCCTATCATCTTTACGTAAAGTCATATTAACTAGACGATAGAGAAAACTTTCGGCTGTATAAAATTTAACGCATTGTTCTTGTATTTCTTCTGTTATTTAAAAACATGACCTATGTGATGAAATGGCCGGTTGACTTTTTATTTCTTCTAATCGATTGGCAATTACTTTCGCTTCAAAACCTTGCCCTAGGTTTTGTCCTTCTTGCAAGATTCCGTATAGCAATTAATGAAATTAAACTTTGAAGTGCTTTTCCATTTTCATCTGTCGGACGGTTCGCATAAGGTCCGTCAAAAATCAAAAACCGTTGTCTGTTTTGTTCTAGCCAGTCACCAAGGAATGGTGAAGACATACCTTGACCTTCAGCAAACGCTTTAACTGCTTTTTGCGGAAAAAAAGAAAAAAATCGAGGTTCTCGAAGATAATCTTATTTTCCAGCAATTTTTAAACGCTTAACTGACCGCTGTTTTGTATTATCACTTTGATTAATTTTTAGCATTCTTTCAAAACTAATCACATGATGTTCCAGTTTAACAGTTTTGTATTTCTTCAGGTAAGCTTGTTCAATTAAATCATCTGAATAACGTTCCCATTTAGGTTTTCATTTGAGGACCATGAATTGTTATTTGACTGCCAATGCTATAACATTCGAGGCTTGGGGACGAGAGACGCGGCTGATGCCATCTGAATAGACTAAGGCATTTTTGCGCAAGACAATTACTGATACTACACAGTTGCAGCAGACTCTCTAATCCTTGAGCGAAAAGGGTAAGGGCAGAGATTCCTCAGACAGTTTTCAGATGCTAATATTCAGGACAATGAATACGGAGTTCGCAAAATAGTACAAATACTATATACATTCTGAAGTTCGGAACTCGGTCTGGTATATTCTCATCGAATAATGAATTTTTCGGTATAGTTGAAAATCGTAGAAAAACACTAATTTTCGAAAAGTTTGGTTTAAGGTCTTTTCATGGAAACAAATACGAATCTCAGAACTCTAACGAAACCCACCGTCTTATTCCGACAAGTGCTATGCTTTTTGGATGGACAGTACAATTCGCTTATTTTGTTGCATTACGCAAAATCGAGCAATAGAATCGTTCCAAAATGTCGCCTTTCTTGTCCCCAAACCGTGTGTTGTGACATCTTATGTGGTGAAAACTGAACCTGAATCAGACAGTTACTCTATAGGGTTAAAAGAGCAGTGAGTTATACCTAATTGTTAGAGTACTTTTTGATATAGGACCTATCTCTAATTAGACTTTTACTTGAGCAGCATTTGTTTTCAGAACTTTACTTCAATGTTTAGCATCTCTCACAACGGAATCTCTCTAGCTGATAAATCGTTTTTTGCCTCAAACTACTATAGTAAGATATCCTAGTGAGCAGTGAAAATTCCGAAAGGGTTTGTTTCTGGACTTTTGATGTTGAGTTATGAATTTGTTTCGTTTTATTGAAAAAACACGATATTGACAGTAAAAACTTAATTTCTCGGCCACGAGCGGCGATAAAAGCTCATATTTATACTACAGCTACTAAACTTAGCACTCTTGCTCCTGTGCAAGTTTGAGCGTCACTGCTTTCCTCCTCCCAGATGTATCGATTTTTGTATTTGAACTTGAAATAATGACGCCACATATATTACTACTCTATTCAAGCATCAATTGAGGTAACACTTTAACTGTCGATACTCAAGATGACGATCCAGACTTAAAGAAACTTTGAGTACACTTGCTTACTGCTTCATGATAACGATATCAATTCTATGTGCACAGAAGAAAAGAAAAATTGCAAATAAAACAAATTATGTACACCAAAATATAAATCTAAGATACAGAAAAGAAAAGAGGAGAAATGACTCTATCTGTAATCATCGAAGGTGAGAACAAAGACATAAATCGGATTTTTATAGGTCACTTGGGATGGTAAATCCAATGAGCACATTGAAACTGAAATCAAAATCTGTTTTTGCTGATTGAACATAATGAACTCTCCCTCGAAAAATTCTAAAAGGTTTAATCTACACGATCCACTTAAAAGTCGTATACAAGTGTCGACGCCTTTTTCCACGGAATAGTTTATCCACATGCGTATTCATAAATTGTACTGTTTCTAGTTATAAGCGTGTGTTTAGTATAAAGTTCTCATTGAACCGATTTGGATTTGGATTATTTTCTATAAACAAAATTTGCTGACAGTATTGCCAAATGCGCGCGAGGTTTTCTCTAACAGTCCAACGGCTGTGAAAGGTTTCCAGGTTATGCCTGATCAGTCATTCTGTATGAGTATCTTAGTCGTTGTTTTTCCGATTTGGCGATCTGAGAAACCCAAAGATGTGCTTGTTGTCTCTTGATTTAACGTCACACCTGTTTCAATATCAAATGTCCACCTACCTGACAAACCCCCACTGAACATGTTCAAGCCACCATCAAATTCGAGTGTTGCCACCTGACCGTCTGCATTGATCAGTTTATATTCCAATTCGCCCAAAGCGTTCATTATCGGTGTTGTCCATTTGTCGCCCACGTCAATGTCATGCAGAGGAAAGGTTGGGTCACTGGGTGGTGGAAGCAAGTGAAGACCATCAGGACCCATGACCAATTCGAGAGAGGTTCCGCCGACCTGATGCACATGACCGACAGTAGCAAGAAGCTGAGCACGTTTGTTGTTGTCAGTCGGAGTTACCTGTGCCCAAGTGATGGATATTTCGACAGTTACATTTGGATGTAACTCGATGACCCGCTCGGTGTAAATTGTTTCAACACGTTCGACACATTCCTCAATGTGTTTGTCAAAGTCCATGCGCTCTGTGATTTGTACTTCCGAATAACTGAATACATCGCCCAAGTGTGGACGATATTCAAGTCGAATTCCTTGACACGTCCAATTAGTGGTATATATGGTCAACAGAAAGATGGTATGGAACAATCGTTTTAAGAACTGCATTGACTGCAGTCACAGTTTTGCTCTTCGGTTCGTTGTTTGACGATTTTTGTCTGTTAGAAAAATGACATGAAAGTCTGCTGGTGTGCACAACGGAAAAACAAGCAATAAACTTTGTTTTTCCTACGTACTTTTGAAAATTCACAACAATTTAACAGCAACTGAGCAGTGATAATAGAAGAATCCTACAGCCGGCTTCGAACTCTTTCTAAACCATGCAATAACGTTTATCCAACATGCATGCGCTTCGTACTGGTCGAGAGACAGTGAAATGAAGAAATTTAAGCGAACCGATTTCTTCATTAAAAGAATAACACAACATATTTATTCTTTTTCGACAATTTTGTTTGATTTTTTCTTTTCAACTAAAAAAGTACATCAGTCAGAATCTAATATTAATGAAATGATGTGCGAGTGTAAAAGGAAACAACAAAAAAGAAAACTACATATATGAGATTAACAATGTAAGGTTAACTATTTCACTCATTCTATTAAATAACTCTATTAAACTCATATTGTCATAGTTATTGGACACTTGAAATCATTTTTAAGTTGGAACTTCTGAAGGATTGTTTATTTCTGAACAAAATGTGCATGAATTTGAATTAGTTTCTAAATTCTTCAGACATTTTGATAATGATTTCGAAATATTTTGAATTCTCGCGTGTAGCATACACTATTAAATACTAAGTGAATATTAAATCCAAAACGTTTAATTTAAGAAAATAGCATAACTTCGATTAGTTTCTCTGTATCAACCAAGATGATTCTTAACTCAGCAAAACTCAAAAGTCCAAAAAGTTAAAAGAATGCACTTTTTATAGTAATAAATACTTGCTGTCGACATTAGCAATTGCTAAGACCTTTAGGCGCTGTTGGTCATTTCATCGACAAATTCTACTTGCAATTTGTCCCTGCGGACATTGCGATGAAACTAGTGAACATTATTTCTTTGCTTGTAGTCTGTACACGACTGAGAGAAACCTACTTCTAACAACGCGCAACGTTTGTTGTTTAGTGAATTACTGACTGGTGAAATAGTTTCAAGTGTAGTAGTTATATCTAAAATTCTTTGGTGATGGTGTTACATACATGCGTTTATCACAATCAGATTTACTTTTGTACGATACGACAACATACTTAGGTCAATCCAAAAGTTCTGTCGGAGATACCTTATTTCCGAATAGAAAGCTCAAAGAAATTTTCTTTTTTTATGCGATGATAGAGAAAACGATGCTCTATTTTTCTATGCTATTTCATCACTATCCAACTAATATCATAATAAGAAAATTTCGATAAGAGCTGTTTGCTATGAAAATACTAGTGCCATTTTCACAAAAAAGGTGGATGGGTATTTTTTGAATAACTTTTGATAGAAACATGGTAGAGAGCTGCAGTCTTCACCGTTGCAAAGAGGAGATGAAGATGCATCGAATCGAATTATATAGGTTTTTCTGACCTGTTTTACTTAACGGTTTCAGTCGATATTTTTGAAAACACACCTATCCTGTGAGTTGTGTATAATGTATTTTCAATTATTTAGTTAGCTTTCAAACCCCCAATCGAGGATCTACAAGGCTGTACAAGGCTCAAATGTTTAGATATAATCATTTAGGAGTTATAGGTATTAGAGTCGAAGCTAGTAGATTTTCTAATAATTCCTCTGAAAAAAATACTTTTTCGCTTTTTTTTTGATAAAGAACTATGTTTCCGTCATTTAGAAAATTGATTAAAAACTTCAGAAAACATATTAGAAAAAACTAATAGTATACGATTCGATGCATCTTCATTTCCTCTTTCCAACGGTGAAGACCGCAGCTCTCTATCTTGCGTTTATCAAAAGTTATTTAAAAATACAAAGCCCCCTTTCTTTAGGTGTGCAGAAAAGTTAAGTTTCATAGCAAACAGCTCTTATCGAAATTTTCTTATTATGATATTAGTTGGATAGTGATGAAATAGC